GTGAGGTAGATGACTTTTTCATTTATATTTCCTTATCATGCCAATTGATTGGTGTCTCTTTAGGTAGCAACCTCAGGTAAGCTGAAGAAATCAATACTCTATATGCTCAATATATCAATCAAGAAAAAAGAACAATTTAGATAGATTTACAGGAAAACACTGGACTGAAGAAGCATATCAGAAAACCACTTCCTCCACAAACACAGTCCCTGTTGTGAAAGGCCTTTGACAAGGTTTTATTGCGCAGAACCTCTGATCTAACAGTGTGACTCACCCTTTATGCACAAAGTCCAACTGATTAGTCCAGAGCTGTCACATTCATTGAATACATCTGCCTTGAGTTGCTGACCAAACAAAGTGTATTTCCTATCGTCCACCCTGTCTGTCTCTCTCTGTCCCTCCAAAGAAAACATACTCAAACATTCCAACAAATGTTTCACTCATTTTTGAACTTGGCTGCATAACGAGTTGCAAATTATGAAGTAAAATAGGGGAAGCACATGCAAAGGTGATAAAAGGGCGGGGGAGTGTGAGACTGACTCACCTGTGATATGTCTAACTTATGCGGTTTGCCTGTCTAGCTTGTTCTGCGCTTTATGGGCGTTGCTGGTCCACTTATACAGCATTACTCTAGGGCAGGATTTTCTTTCACTCAGACGTACGTTTGTGACAAGCATCTTTTATAAAAGGTAGGTAATACTTAATCTGTACTCGTACAATTCATAAAAACAAGTGCTCGGAACTGGAGTGTCGTTTACCATTGGAATAAACGCTACTTATTTGCGACTTCCGCGTTTCTCTGACAGTTATTCTCTGACGTGCAATCAAACCTCTGCGCGAGAGTTAAATATTTACGGTGATAGGCATATTATTAGTCTACATATGTTCAAACAAAAGGAAATTATGTTATTAGAATGAACGGCAGTCTAAAAATATTTTTGTGTACAAACACGGGACATTCGTAAACCATATCAATTGTTTACTCACTGTCTAGATCTGCTCAGTACTTTTTGCTGCTTTTTGTGAATATATGGCGTTATATGGATTTTAACGATGGTTGCATAAATTATGGGGCTGTTTTTTTCCGTAGTGTCATCAGTCATGGAGGGTCTCTCTCGTGCTAACAGTCTCTTCGCTCTGGATCTCTATCGAGCTCTGAGCGCGAGCAACGCTGAGGGAAACATGTTTTTTTCTCCACTGAGCATCAGTGCAGCGCTCAGCATGGTCTACTTGGGAGCCCGAGGAGAAACTGCCAAAGAAATGGCAAAGGTATGAGGTATAAGCATCTGGAAAACAAGCAAAGGCCTGTGTGGGAGGTTTTTTTTTTGTCAATTGTGAGTCTACAAATAGGCTGCATTCTGCACACGTACAGTACAATCTGTGGTTGGGAAATCCTGCTCGAAAACAAAACCACAACCCAAAACAAGGAAGAGAGTACATAACCCTGTTTGACAGGAAAATGGGGCAAGGCCCAGATGTCAAAAGGGTAAATATTTGCTTGTAGTGTGAGCTTAACACAGAGATTGATCACAGCCAAACAATAGCACATAGTAATGACTTTGTTACAAGTTGGTTTAAGCAAGATTTAGTGGAGAGAAAAAAAAATGTTTCATTCTCACAGTGTCTTAGAATTCTTTGAGAATTTAAGGGAGAATGCAAATTGTTAATAAAGATTGGATTGGATAAAGATTAGATTTTAAATTAGGCCTAATACATTTTAGGGTTGAGAAAATATAGATGTAACTAAAAATGAATGATGCAGTCATTTATAGCTTGACTTGTCTTGAAATGATTACTCTTTTCTGTTGGGTAACCGTGTGAAAGTTTGAGTTGGAATTATCATTCATGTCAGTTCATTATCCATGGATGTGGCCAATTCAATAAAATTTCCAAAGCAATTTTTTTTTTACTGCAGAAAATGTACTCCTTTTCAGAATAATTTATTGTCATTCAGGTTAAGTGAGTTCAGTTAGTACCTACTGACCCTACACTACTAAGTGTATGCTGGTGAATACTATAGCAAAGCTATAGTTTACAGTATTGGGTAGGTATAGCCACTGCAGTTACATATTAACTAACATACAGAAGTCATGAAAATGTTCCAAGTTGCATCAACACAGCAGTGCTAAATGCTGACTTAAAGCATACATCATCAATTTATATATTTGCATGCTTAGGCTGAAATCAAATGCAAAGCATTTGAAGTTTATTTATGAACTAGACATAGCAGTACATTTCATTAGCCAAAGAGTGCATACAGACTGTGATACAACCAGCGAGCAACTGACTCAACAGAGAGAGGGAGTGCCGGAGTAGTGTAAACAAATGTAAACAGCTCCACATACCTCACTTTCTCACTCTTTCAAGCTGCTCTTTTAGAAGGAGCTTAAAAAACAGAAAAATGCATCCAGATTTGAAAGAAAAAAATAACAGAAATTGACCTAGAAGATATTCCAGATTTTAGCCACAAAAGCCAACTTGCGCCTGCTCTGAGCTTGCTGCCATCATTTGTTTTAAGTTCAGACTCATCTCGGCTTGGCTTGACAACGGACTTCAGACCCCAACAAGTCCTTGATTTAGTTTACTCCTTGTAATAAATGTGGTCAGAACAGGCTCTTCAGTGCACACCCTTTTTAGCTTATTCTGTAAGACATACCATGGGCATTTTTCTTCTTCTTTTGAATAAAAGAGAAATATATAATTTAAAAAAAATAAAAATTTTGTAAAACTATTAGCAAAGTCTCTCCAGTGTAAACAAATACAGTTATCTCTCCAGTTAAACAAATACTTTCTCTTGCAGGTTTTGTCCTTCAGTTCTGTCTCTGATGTGCACTCTCATTTTGAGAGCCTCACCTCGGCAATCAACAAGCCACCTCAGCAAGCTTCCTACATCCTTAGACTGGCCAACCGTCTCTATGGAGAGAAAACCTTCAGTTTCTTACGTGTGAGTCCATTCCGCCTTCAAAATGGGACATTATGAAGCTAAACCTTAGATATATTATTTTCCCTCCATTATAAATTTCCAATTTAGAGGTCTTTTTTAGTCCTTTTTGCTGATTGGTGTCATGTGTCCTGCAGGAGTATTTGGACTCCACTCTGAAGCTGTACCACGCTAACCTTCAGGCTGTGGACTTCATTGGAGCATCTGATGAGTCACGACAGCTCATTAACAAATGGGTGGAAGAGCAGACAGAGAGTGAGAAGATCAGTTCCATATACAGTTCTATTTCAGATTAAAGAATCAGTTTGGATCTGTTGATTGAGTATATATTTCAAAAGATGTGAAGTCAGGAATGCAAACTTGTGTTTTGTAGATAAAATCAAAGATCTTCTCAAGCCGGGAATGGTGACCGGAATGACCCGACTAGCTCTGGTTAATGCCATCTACTTCAAAGGGAACTGGCTGCAGAAATTTAATGCTCAAGACACTAAAGAAATGCCATTTAAAATAAGCCAGGTCTGTTTGCAAAATATTGTACAAATTCAGTTGTATGTCCTTACACTATGCATACTATATCATATCTATGACAGAGGGTCATACTCATTTTCATGTTCACTTTCGCATTGGTATGTGCATCTGTCTTCCATCAGAATGAGCGCCGAGCAGTGCAAATGATGTACCAGAAGAAAAAGTTCCCCTTCAAATATGTCTATGACCACCGCTTGCAAGTGCTGGAGTTGCCATATGTAAAGGAGGAGCTCAGCATGTTGATCCTTCTTCCTGAAGAAAGTCAGGATGGCTCTGACCCTCTTCTTAAGGTCAGCAAAAAGTTTTTGTACTAATCTGCTTGACTTGACTATATTGTTATCTTGTATATTCAGAGACTCAAAGAATTTGCACATGTGTGTTTGACAGCTGGAGAGCGAGCTGACCCTTGATAAGCTGCATGAATGGACCAACAGAAACAATATGGACACCCACACAGAAATCATAGTCCACTTGCCAAAGTTCAAGCTGGAGGTTGAGAGCTCCTTAGCAGAAATATTGATGGGCATGGGGATGACCTCTGTGTTTCAGGGTCCAAAGGCTGATCTGACTGGCATGAGCAGTCAGGGTGGTCTCTTCCTTTCGGCAGTGGCCCACAAGGCCTTTGTGGATGTAAATGAAGAAGGCACAGAGGCAGCAGCCGCTACGGCAGCCATTGTGGCATTCTGTATGTTACGAGAGGAGCATTTCATGGCAGATCACCCCTTCTTGTTCTTCATCAGGCACAATCCCACCAACAGCATCCTCTTCTTCGGCAAATTCAGAGGCCCATCTTAAATATGTGATGTTTGTTTGTCTAACACTAAAATAAACAATACATACTAGTATTTAGATGTCAATAATTCACATTTTGTATTCTTTTTTTGTTTTTTATAATGTAATAATGTCTTTGATTTGTATTGAGATGAAAAACACTAATTTTGAGTTCAAATTTAGATGGAAAATGATGGCGCACGATGCAACATATTTTCAACACATTTTTGAGAATGCTTTTATTGACTATCACAAGAATTATTTAGCAAATTCGCTAGCTGGGACAAAAAAGTAAAGTCAGTACAGTCATTAGGCATGCTGACATCTCTGTTTGATAAGGAAAATACATTTATAACGCAGCTGTTAATGCACACTAAATACACAGCGTATCCCATCATTCATTATGTTGAACTCGAATGCCCAAAAATCATGAGATCTGGAGGAAAGTGTAGGTAAGCTCAATTATTTAGATAGTCTATTAGCCTACATGTAATTAGGTAGTAAAATATAGAAAAGTGTTGCATATTGTATTGGTGCAGAGATGAATAGCCTATGTGTAGGCCTATTTCATAGAAACATTTGCAACTGATTTTTATCAATTATAAGCACTACAATGAATAAATTATTTAATTAGTTACAGGGTCTACTGAATAGACATGTACGTTTATTTTTAAGTGCAACCTTTTAAAAATCAAAATGTGCAAAAAAAAATGTATATATAACAAGTTTGATCCATCGGGTAAGCAGCTGATTGGTGTCATGTGTCCTGCAGGAGTATTTGGACTCCACTCTGAAGCTGTACCACGCTAACCTTCAGGCTGTGGACTTCATTGGAGCATCTGATGAGTCACGACAGCTCATTAACAAATGGGTGGAAGAGCAGACAGAGAGTGAGAAGATCAGTTCCATATACAGTTCTATTTCAGATTAAAGAATCAGTTTGGATCTGTTGATTGAGTATATATTTCAAAAGATGTGAAGTCAGGAATGCAAACTTGTGTTTTGTAGATAAAATCAAAGATCTTCTCAAGCCGGGAATGGTGACCGGAATGACCCGACTAGCTCTGGTTAATGCCATCTACTTCAAAGGGAACTGGCTGCAGAAATTTAATGCTCAAGACACTAAAGAAATGCCATTTAAAATAAGCCAGGTCTGTTTGCAAAATATTGTACAAATTCAGTTGTATGTCCTTACACTATGCATACTATATCATATCTATGACAGAGGGTCATACTCATTTTCATGTTCACTTTCGCATTGGTATGTGCATCTGTCTTCCATCAGAATGAGCGCCGAGCAGTGCAAATGATGTACCAGAAGAAAAAGTTCCCCTTCAAATATGTCTATGACCACCGCTTGCAAGTGCTGGAGTTGCCATATGTAAAGGAGGAGCTCAGCATGTTGATCCTTCTTCCTGAAGAAAGTCAGGATGGCTCTGACCCTCTTCTTAAGGTCAGCAAAAAGTTTTTGTACTAATCTGCTTGACTTGACTATATTGTTATCTTGTATATTCAGAGACTCAAAGAATTTGCACATGTGTGTTTGACAGCTGGAGAGCGAGCTGACCCTTGATAAGCTGCATGAATGGACCAACAGAAACAATATGGACACCCAGACAGAGATCATAGTCCACTTGCCAAAGTTCAAGCTGGAGGTAGAGAGCTCCTTAGCAGAAATATTGATGGGCATGGGGATGACCTCTGTGTTTCAGGGTCCAAAGGCTGATCTGACTGGCATGAGCAGTCAGGGTGGTCTCTTCCTTTCGGCAGTGGCCCACAAGGCCTTTGTGGATGTAAATGAAGAAGGCACAGAGGCAGCAGCCGCTACGGCAGCCATTGTGGCATTCTGTATGTTACGAGAGGAGCATTTCATGGCAGATCACCCCTTCTTGTTCTTCATCAGGCACAATCCCACCAACAGCATCCTCTTCTTCGGCAAATTCAGAGGCCCATCTTAAATATGTGATGTTTGTTTGTCTAACACTAAAATAAACAATACATACTAGTATTTAGATGTCAATAATTCACATTTTGTATTCTTTTTTTGTTTTTTATAATGTAATAATGTCTTTGATTTGTATTGAGATGAAAAACACTAATTTTGAGTTCAAATTTAGATGGAAAATGATGGCGCACGATGCAACATATTTTCAACACATTTTTGAGAATGCTTTTATTGACTATCACAAGAATTATTTAGCAAATTCGCTAGCTGGGACAAAAAAGTAAAGTCAGTACAGTCATTAGGCATGCTGACATCTCTGTTTGATAAGGAAAATACATTTATAACGCAGCTGTTAATGCACACTAAATACACAGCGTATCCCATCATTCATTATGTTGAACTCGAATGCCCAAAAATCATGAGATCTGGAGGAAAGTGTAGGTAAGCTCAATTATTTAGATAGTCTATTAGCCTACATGTAATTAGGTAGTAAAATATAGAAAAGTGTTGCATATTGTATTGGTGCAGAGATGAATAGCCTATGTGTAGGCCTATTTCATAGAAACATTTGCAACTGATTTTTATCAATTATAAGCACTACAATGAATAAATTATTTAATTAGTTACAGGGTCTACTGAATAGACATGTACGTTTATTTTTAAGTGCAACCTTTTAAAAATCAAAATGTGCAAAAAAAAATGTATATATAACAAGTTTGATCCATCGGGTAAGCAACGGTTCTACACACACTTTGTCGTTCTGACGCCCACTTGAACATTTGGGCCAAACACCGGAAATACGTAATGTGAGAAGTCAGAAGTGGTCAAATGCAAAGATCGCAAGTGTGGGATTTGAGCACTGATCTATAATAGATTTTATTTTTATTATAGCTATAGCTCAGTGGTTTTGAGACAGGCTGTGTATCTCTGAAGAAGAGGTGGTCCTCCCTGCAGAACACAAGATACAGGGAGCGTGGTTGGATCCAGATCCAACTCCTCCCACTTTACATAGACCTAAACCTACCCGTCTCCACCCCCTGATCCCTAAACCCACCCATCTCCACCCCTAAACCTACCAATCTCCACCCCCTAGATGTGGATCCAACCACGCCCCGTGGATCTTGTATTCTGCAGTGAGGGGCTACATATGCTGCGTTCAAGTCCTCCTGGGCCGTTCCTACTTACGAGTTGACAAGTCGTAATTACGACGTCAGGTGCGTTCAAGTCAGTTTAGTCGGCACAAGATGGCGGTGTACCTTCTTTTAATAAATTACAAGAAAATACAACAGGGTCTGCATTTTTTTACTTGGATTTCAGCTGCATAACAAGAACATGACCAATTTAAGTTTATAGGACAACTAAACTATCAATTTAAACAAAAATTTACCGTCAACTACAGACGTTGCATCCATCGATTCCGCCATGTTTCTCATTAACACGCCCCCAGCTCGGAAACTCGGGGCTTAAAGAAAATTTCGAGTTTCCCAGAATTCCCACTAGTAATAACGACTTTGTGGTGGCGTTCATGTGCGTTCAACTCGTAAACACGATCTATCCAACATGACTTTAACGCACCATTACATACACGATTTTAGCAACTATCTAACTGTCGGTCAATGATTGAGAAACGCCCTTTTTGTTCTCCAGACGTCCTAACACAGGGCGGACCCCCTCTAGTCCACACTCCGACAGACAGCATCAACAACACCAAATCAAAGCAGCGCAGTATTAAACACGTTCTTATTAAACATTTTTGGCATAATCACATCTTTTAGAACATCCAGTGAATATTTTGAACACGCAGCCTACTACAACACTTTACAGACGTATGCAGTGGAGCTGTAGAACCAACGAAGAGGACAACTGAATTAGCCTACGCCGAAAGGACATCGTTAATACAAGTCAAATAGCCTACTACATTTATATTTAGTGTTTTGAAAGATGGCTGTATAAAGTATGATACTCAACAATAGTTGTTTTGGTATTTCTAGCAGTGTCATCAGTCATGGAGGGTCTCTCTCGTGCTAACAGTCTCTTCGCTCTGGATCTCTATCGAGCTCTGAGCGCGAGCAACGCTGAGGGAAACATGTTCTTTTCTCCACTGAGCATCAGTGCAGCGCTCAGCATGGTCTACTTGGGAGCCCGAGGAGAAACTGCCAAAGAAATGGCAACGGTATGAGGAACTGACATGTTACTGTTGGTACTATTACTTTAAATATCATTCTGATTGTGTCTGTAAAGTTTCTGTAAATCATACCACTTCTGTTACTGATTATCTATTTTTGCACTAATGATGAAGAAATTAATACTAGCTGTGCTCCAACAGAAGTAATGGTGATTCTTGGTGGTTCATCAGATTGCAATGCTTTTTAATACGTTTGATGAAAAACCGTACAAGAAATGATTAAGATATATAAATAGGCTATATTAAATTTAAAATAATTTATCATTGCCTTATGGTAATAAAGCTTAATTGTCATGAAAATTATGTCATAATATCAAATATGTTCATAGTTCACCCTTATGTCTTTCTCTTTGCAGGTTTTGTCCTTTAGTTCTGTCTCTGATGTTCACTCTCATTTTGAGACCCTCACCTCAACTCTCAACAGTCCATCAGCCTCCTACATCCTCAAACTAGCAAATCGCCTCTATGGAGAGAAAACCTTCAGCTTCTTACCTGTGAGTCCATTCTGCCTTCATTATGAGACATTTTAATGCTCTCTGTGTGCTTTGCAAAGATTCATACTTTGCCTTATCTGAGAGAAGAATGTATATAATTCATATGCAAATGTGCTGTGATATATTTATTTTCTTTCCAAATGAGATACCACCTTTATTTTGTGCTGCAGGAGTATTTGGACTCCACTCTGAAGCTGTACCACGCTGACCTTCTGGCTGTAGACTTCATTGGAGCATCTGATGAGTCACGACAGCTCATTAACAAATGGGTGGAAGAGCAGACAGAGAGTGAGAAGAGAGTGATAAGAATATGAAAGAGAAATTTTATGGATAGCAAGAATTAAAAGAAGGATGCATAATTCTGCTCTTTGAGGGCCACTGTCCTGCAGATTTTAGTTCTAACCCTAATCAAACACACCTAAACCATCTAATGAAAGTTAACTTGAAATTTACGGTCTAGTGTGTTTGATTAGAGTTTGAGCTGAACTCAGAATTATATTTGCTTTGTTTAATAGAGAACTGATGTTGGTAGGCTACTTGTAAATTGTGAAAAAAGTGATACAGTGATTTGATGTCAATGATCAGAATACTATAAATAATGAAATACTGTTTTTTTTGTTTGTTTTTCACTTCAGATAAAATTAAAGATCTTCTTAAGCGCGGTGTTGTAAATGAGCTGACCCGGCTAGCTCTGGTTAATGCCATCTACTTCAAAGGGAACTGGATGCACCCATTTGAAACAAGAAACACTAAAGAAATGCCGTTTAAAATAAACCAGGTGTGATCTGCATTTTATTTCAGAAGTGTATATGAAAAATAAATATAAGGTTCACGTATTGAATTTTGTAAGTAATTTTGAATGTACTGGCATTTATCTACAAACAGAATGAGCGCCGGCCTGTGCAAATGATGTACCAGGAGAAGAAGTTCTCCTTCAGATACATCCCAGAGTATGAACTGCAGGTGCTGGAGTTGCCATACATAAAGGAGGAGCTCAGCATGTTGATCCTTCTTCCAAATGAAACTCAGGATGGTTCTGACCCTCTTCTTAAGGTCAGCAAAAGTGGCATAATCAATGAGCCATCTTTCAGTTTTGATCCTGTGGAATAGTTTGGTGCTGTGTATGTTATTTTTCAGTTTGTGTGTGTGTTTGACAGCTGGAGAGCGAGTTGACCCTTGACAAGCTGCTTGACTGGACCGAAAGAGACAAAATGGCCACATGGATGGATATCAGAGTCCATTTGCCAAAGTTCAAGCTGGAGGTTGAGATTTCCCTATCAGAAAATTTGCAAAAGATGGGTATGAGCTCTGTGTTCCAGGAATCAAAGGCTGATCTGACAGGCATGAGCAGTAAAGGTGGTCTCTTCATTTCAGCGGTGGTCCACAAGGCTTTTATTGAGGTCAATGAGGAAGGCACTGAGGCAGCAGCAGCCACTGCATGTTTGGTAATGCTTTGCTGTAGCATTCCACCCAAACATTTCATAGCAGATCATCCCTTCTTGTTCTTCCTCAGGCACAACCCCACTAACAGTATCCTCTTCCTTGGCAGATTCAGAGGCCCATCTTAGAAATGTGGTGTTTTTTCTGTAACATCAAAATGAAGAAATGTGTTTTTCTTGGAATGTTTTATTAAATAAATCAGTCGCACCACATGTATTTGTTTGTCATCACAAATGACATTATTCCAGATTACTTCAAATCGAATCGACTCTTAACCACACCAACATTTTGAACATGGTGTTTGTCTCAGATGGAATAGGGGAAAACATCATCAAACACTACTTTACCATTACTTCTACTTGACCCATAAAGACTGAATGGTACAATATAAACCAAGATTTGACAACAGTAAAACTAACATGTAACTGGGTTAAAAATGCTTAAGTATAAATGGCATGCCTTTCACCAGAATTGGTTTGTTCTGGTTCAGTAAATGATGGTTTTGTAACCCTCATTAAGTAATTACACACATGTGGGTATGTATGAATCCCCAGTCTCTCCAACGGAAACATAATTCTTGTATTACACTCTTAAAAAATAAAGGTGCTTCAAAAGGTTCTTCAAGCGATGCCATAGAAGAACCATTTTTAGTTCCGCAAAGAACCATTCAGTCATAGGTTCTTTAAAGATCCATCTCTTTATTACCTTTTTATAATCTCAAGAACCTTTTGTGAAACAGAAAGGTTCTTCAGATATTAAAGGTTCTTTATGGAACCATTTAGACAAAAAGGTTCTTCTATGGCATCGTGAAGCACCTTTATTTTTAAGAGTGTACGGGAATAAACACAACACATGGAATGCAGCTCTTCGTGTTTGCCTTGTCATTTTGGTCCCACGTCCAGTCTGTTGTTTCTTTACTTAGCCCATATTTGTTAAATAGTTTTTCCAGCTTGTGT